TGTCTGAGTCATGGAAAAGAGAAGAATGAGACAACCAAAGTTTTTATGGGAGAATTAATTTTGGTATTTCCCATGATTGGTAATGGTGTTGTATCAGTTTTTATGTTAAGCCCATATACTTTATTCTAGTTACTGGCCAAGCCAATTCACCTATACATTGAGTCATATTTTGATCTTGTTAATTATTCGCTTATTAACTTTGACTATATTTTTATATGAGCGTACATGTGTACCATTCGTATCTTACTCATCATATGTCTGTCAATCATTTTTGTCTGATTATAAATATTGAGTAATGCTTGCTCATAGCGAGTTGCCTTCCCAGCCATCTCCACTATGCATCATCTTTGCTTCGCTCGCTTACACTTGCTCATGTGCCCACAGCTTTCTGGTCTGCATCATTTATCAATATAAATGTAGTTGCCGCTTCCTTTTTCTTTCTGATTTAATACACCGTTAAGATTGGTATAATAACGGTTATTGAAGTGAACTATTATTGAAGCACGGCACTACAATGGTTTTACATTTTCTTAATTGTGAAATTTCATTTATCCCATAAACATATGATAATTTTTACTGCTTATGAATAACGGGTTATTTGCTATGACCCTGACGCTCAGATTTTTATCATAAATATAGGATTGATATACGTAGTGTAAGGAATTATCTCAAAGCCAATCCACTACAACGTTCGTATTATTAATTATTATTTTTAGTGCATAATACAATTAGATTTTATACATATAATCAGATGAAATTTTTGAGTCCGAATACGACAAAACAATACAAAACAGTTAGTTCTACTGGATGGAGCTGAAACTTTGAAAACTACTACAAAAATCATCAAACATCTACAAGTATTTATAAACACTTGTCTACAAAAGATACACAATGTCCGTTGGCCGTATATCATCAGTAACAGACTTCTATTGGAGAGAACAAACCAGCTTTCATCGGAGGAGGAAATTGGTATAACAAGACGGGAGTGGATAGCAGATACATTGTGGAAATCATCAAACTGTATCACGAGACACGTGCTAACTTGTAATCATGACGGGAAACGAAAAAGAGGGAGACCAAAGAACACACTGCGTTGATAATTGGAAGAATACATGAAAAGAATAAGTAGCAACTGGAAGGGACTGGAAAGGATTGTCCAGGATGGAGTTGGATGGAAAATGCTTCCTCACTTGGAGTAACAGAAGTAAATACGTTTTATCTTAGTATATTGATTTTCTGAACATTTACTAGTGCAAAACAACAAACATCGTTAAATGAAGTGAATAGTTTATTCATGAGTTGTTTACTAAGTTATTTATTCAATATACAGACACCAATTAGATAAATGAAAGTGCTTTCGATAAGATGAGATAAGAAAACTGTTAAAAAAATTGCAGGAGTTTTGGGTAATCTTTCGAGTTAGAAAGATTAAATCTTTTTTTTCTGATTACACTGTTATTGTTCCTCAATATTACTTCCGATTGAATACACTGTGATAATGGCTGAAGAAACATATTCGATTGACTTTTAGTGAAGTACTTTGCAAAGCATAATTTCATTTTTTTTAGTGTTATACTTATTAAATGCAATGTAATTAGTATTAAAACAATGTGAACTCTGTTTAACATGATATGTAGAATGTATTCTGTAATAAATTTGTGCATATTACGTGTGTAAATTCACTTAGTATTGTTTGAGTTGAATCTTCCCATTGATGTTTAGGACTGCAACTGGTCAGTCTTTAATTGGCACATGTGCATACTGTGCGTATTGTCTCGATATAGCATTAATTCACAAGCATTGTAAGTAAAGATGGATAGTGGACAGCAGTGGAATCCAGGACGCGCTTTTCGTCTTATTTGGGACAAACAATAGTAAATGAATTTAAACTTCACCCCATTTCACAAGCAAGTAACTATCAGGACTCAATAGCTGAGTGGATAACGTGTTGGCATTTGAAGCGAAAGGTACTGGGTTCGAATTCCAGAGTGAACATGAACTCTGTCATGCAGGTACATCCAGCTGACGAGTCCCAAATAGAACGAAACGTGTGTCCTGGATTCCACTGCTATCCACTATCCATCCTTGCACACAATAATACGTATGTGTTATTTATTTAATTGTGTATAAATCTATGTAAAAATGAGCCTATTTTTCGGTTAAGCGGAGTGTTTTTCACAATGAATATAACTTCAATTATGGTAGTCTTACGTATTCTTGCTTCTCGTTTTGGGAATTATCAGGGTCTCCAACTTCAGGTATATCGTGGTAGAATTGAGGATACAACATCATCTATCTTCTTCCTTCTCAGAGACTAGATGGATTGAGATGTGCAACCCAAGAAGAATTCAATTCCATTTTAATTTATCCAAATTATTCATCTACTATTAGTGGTTATTAATCAAATAATTTTATCAACACAAAATCACAGTTAATTAATCAATGTAATGAAATGCGCTAAACGTTTACTGACCGTCAATCACTTTAAATCTACATGCTATTTAAAAGATTGATTTTATCCTTTATACCGACCATATGGGGATGAGGGCTCCATTACACAGTTACACATAGTGTTCAGTCAATCTTTCGGAATACATACAAAATTCAAAAATAATCTAGGATTGAATATCAAATTAAACATGGTTATTTAAATCAATCATTCCAGCACTCCTTGAACAGTAACAATGTAAGTGAGTGTAACATCCAGATATAGATACCTAATTATTTATAACTTTGGGAAGGGGGATAAATACAAAGAATTAATTAGTAAGAAATGCCAATTATATTATCTGTAGTTACATTACCAGTATTTTCGTCATTTTAAATAGGTTTTCATGTCCATTTTATAGTTAATATCATAGTTTTTCTCAATATTCTTATCTTTAATTTATTCTAGATTTGACATCACAGCGTACAAAGAATTCAAGTCTTCATACCACAGATTTTGACATTTCACGAAGTTCATGTTGCTAACATTATTGTTACACGATTATCAGAATTACTACATCGATGTCCTTTAGTTTAAGTATGGTGTATGCTACTTATGTTGACAGACATAAGTAGTATGTAACACCAATCAGAAGTGGAATATCTGTCAAAACAGGATTGATAAGATTGAGCTGAAAAGAACCAAAAGGGTAATTAGAATAAAAACAGAATTGTAATAATTATGAAGAATGTAAATGACAACTGATGGAAGATGTGCAAATTAGATATTTAATGTATGGTTTCAAATATTTTGCCAAATAATTTTGCATAAAGCAATAAATTGATCCCGTTCATTACAATATATGTCATATTCTACAAATATATCCACTTTATTACAATAATTTGGAATTACTTTATGAACTTGGTTGTCATGATCATTTTCAATTTTTAATATTCTGATAGGAACCGAAGTTACATATTTGCGAAAACTGTTTATAAACATTTGTTCATCAAACAAAATAGATGCTTTATGATCCTTATAAAACTGAATTTCTGAAGCTGAACTTTGCTTATAAAGTTGTTGAACGAGCAGACTTTTGGAAACGAATAAACCTCACCTCTCAAAGTTTCGTATGCATACTTTATATAAATTGTTGTATAATTCAACCTACAACATACAGTCTTTTCTTACAAAAGGTTGATAATTCTAGCTTTGACTTATTTTGATTCAGCTTTTATGAAACTCTGAAGTGTGAATGTTACATTATGTCTTTGAACTATCGATATTTGTACAGACAATAATCTATCATGTATCCAAAGATACTAATAACTGTGGTGTATTCTACCAAACTGATATAAGGCAAACAAAAATTTTAGTTTTATTGACATATGCTGTCCAATTAGTTTTATTCATATTTAAAAAACAATTGAATCCACCAGCAAATTATCTATTCAATAGATTTTCTATTGTTCCATAATCGTCCTTGTAAAAGAAATGTGTTACAACAAATAAAGTTGAATTCACGAATCAATCTAAGCTAGATCACGATTGAAAACATTGAATCATTTGTAGTGTCGGTTTATATGTTAAGCCCGTATATCTTATTTTAGCTTCTGAACGAAAGAATTTACCTATCCGTCTTGAGTCAGGTTTTGATTTTGTTAATTATTCACTTATTAACCCTGACTATTTTTATGTGAGCGTATGTGAGTGTACACTTTTTATCTTATTCATCACACTTATGTAATTTATTTTTATCTGAGTATAAATATTGATTAACACTTGATTAAAGCAAGTTGGCGTACCCGTCATCTCCAATGCATGTCATTTTTACTTCGCTCGCAGATGTTTGCTCATGTGCTAATAACTTTCTGGCCTGCGTCATTTGGCAATAAACTGTAGCTGCCGCTTCTCTTAGCCTTCTGATTTTATGCACCGTTGAGATTTGTAATTTAACGATTATCGAGATGAACGATTAACGAAGCACGACACTACACGTTGAACGGCTTTTCGTCTTTATGTAAAAATCCTAAGTATTGTGTATCTACTATCACTTACGAGAAAATCCAACCCAGAATCTTCAGTGTCGCGCTCGAGCACTCAACCTTTAGACTGCTGAGTCGAAATCCAACAGTGTCAATGTCAAACTTCAATCTACCCATGAACTTGCGCAACCCTCCATCCGTTGTCTGAAATATATAACTTTATACACAAAACACGGATTGAGCTCTGTAATCAATCGATATCCAAATGGGGGATCATGGATGAGCACTGATGAGGAATCCCATTGTACGACGAATGAGCTGTATAATGCATCCAGTTACTCAATGATAATTTAGCTTAGATTTACGGATGAATTCAACTTTGAAAACACTACCATCTTTACGAATTACCAAAATTGAAAAAAAAAAAACATTTTTGTTTAAAAATATGGTGTTTTTTTTTTAAAAAAAATAGATGCTATCATTTCTCATCTATGAAAAGTCTCAATGATTCCTTTTTCCATTTATATAAATGACACATATTGTTATTCATTTTAATAATAATAATAATAATGTAATATGAAAGAGAATTAATCCCTATTCAAAATGAAATATTTAATAAAACATAAATTGTTAAATGTCTCTTTAAATTGTGTAGACATTACATAATAGATGATAAAATTTAATTGATATGATACCAAGATAACAAGATTACATAATATAACAGCTTTACCTAAATAATCATCAATAAGTGTATGATTCGTTTCTGAAAGATTAATTGTTGTATTCATTGTATCATTATTATATGGCAATGTAAAAGGAATTTGTTTATCATTATAATTCAATTCTTGAATTATTTCTTTTGTTGTTGTCGTCTCAATCAAGGTATCTTCATTGTTAGTTTGTGTTGAATTGTCAACTTTCCACATTTTTCTTAATACATATATAGTTAAAACAATAGCATTTGGTAAATGCATTGCTATAAATTTTATTAAAACTACAATAAGCATACGAGATATTGCTTGAGGATTGATAGAGGATTTTTTAGCAGTCAATGTATATATGGTATTATTAAAATTATGGATATCGGTGATAGGATCCTTCGAATTAAATCTTTTACCAATGCAACAGAATAGTTTACATTTACAATGATTTAAACTAGAAGTATCATTAGTTTGTTTTAAACCAAGACGTTTACGTAGTTTGATGATACTATGCATTTTTATAACAAGTATTATAGTCAATACAATAAGTATTCCACATGGTAAAATATGGATTAATATAATTCTGGCATAGAAATAGAATATCATATATACTGGTTGAATTAAATGACATTTCATTACAATATTAGGTAAATTACATACAATGTTCCATAGACATTGAACTGAATTAGCTCTTTGATTTATATGTAAACTATCTTCAGTTATAGATGATTTCAGTTGAATTGGATGAAATAATATAAATCTTGAAGATAATAAAGGCCAGTGTAAAATAATAGCCAGACATGATATTATGATAAATATTTTTCCGGTAGAAGATAAATTGCATATTTTTGATGTCAAATTAAATGCTGTTAAATGTATTACACGTTGTAAAGCTAAAGTAACTGTTAACCATACTGATATTGTATGAGTTATAGTTGGAAGAAATACTGTTGACCATGCGGATGCTTCACTAGCAATCATATTATCACTAGTTTGATAATAATCATTTGGAGCTAATTCCCAATATGTGTTATTAAGTAAATTCTTAGCAATTGTAAAATTTTTAATTGGTAGATTAGTCCACCATGCAGTTCGTTTGTAAACACTTTGAGCAATATACATTGGTAAAGGTAAACAACAATTTGTCAATTCCACAATACCAATAAGAAATAATAAGAAAAAAACAGGAGATCTCATTTGTGGTTTACTAAAGACTAGACATACAAAAAAATTAGTGATTAAAACAAAAATCATTAGTATAGGTAATAGATAAGTATGTACAACATAGTCAAATGTATCATTGTATAGTTCGGAAAATGTTGGATATGGACCACAAATTTGATTAAGTAAATTGGATGAAATCACACCGGTTGATATATTAACATAACTATCAATAAGTAGTATCTTTGATAATGATGTATTATTATCTTCATTAAGATTTGTTGCAAAATGTACTGCATTTTTTGCAGCTTGACTATTAAATGCATAAAATATAGGGTTTGTTGATTGAGTAGATAAGTAATTCTGTATGAATATCTTTTCTCTTTCACAATGAGATAAGTTATGAAGTACTGATTGTTGCATTCTAAAAATATGACAAAAAGAAGTTTAAATTTAATAAAATCATCTAAGTAAACAGTATCTAATTAGGAAACGTGGTTACATATAACTAGTCTTATTTAAATTAAATATGAAACCGAAATTAAAATAGCACTGATGAGGTGTCCCAAAATAGGACGAAACGGCCGTCCAGTGCTTACAGGTTTTCCATGGTGGTCTAGCTTCAATTGACTTATAATTTCAACTTTAAAATTAGCTCATAGGTAGAAAGCTTTTTGATTGAACTGATAGTAATATTTTTTACTGAATTGAAATCAATTTCTATTAGCATCCTCTGAGGATTGTTTCTATATAACCATTTTATTGAAAGTTTCATGGCATAGATAAGTTATTGATAGTAACAAAAATATATAGAAAATCAATCGAAATTTCGTCTAGAATATTGATAATAAAATAATTCATATCCGTCAAACAAGTGAGTGATTTCCTGGACTTAGTAGCTGAGTGAGTAATACGTTGAACGTTTTTTGAACGAAAGGTACAAATTTTAACTCTAGGTGTGAACATTAACATTAGGAAATAGGATTATCCAACGGACAGGTCTCGAATACAACTAGACGCATGTTCAACATTCCACTGGTGACCATAATGTATTCTATAAGAAAACTTAATTGATCTGAAATACGCGATGTGTTTGCATAATACATTTCATGTTATCTAGGCACACATATAATTGTTGAAAGCGTGAGTCAATTGAAGCTAGACCACCATGGAAAACCTGGAAACACTGGACGGCCGTTTCGTCCTATTATGGGACTCCTCAACAGTGCGCATCCACGAACCTGCTCTCTTGTCAAGCTACTTTAAATGAAAATTAATAAAGGTCATTTGGATTAAAGTCCAAGTAAACAAGGTGATAACTGTAAATAATGGAGAGACATTAAAATAATATGGAAGGAATGGAAAATTATAACACTAATCTACACCATAAAATGACCTGAAGATTACAAAGCCAAAATTTCCAGGTTATGACAAATTGTCCTAATACACATAAGTAGAGTTGTAATTTATGGGTAGTCAAGGCTTCTATAAACCTAGAAATTGATCCTTTACAATTTATACACGTTATAAACCAGTATTGATGCCAACTCTATGTGCAGTTTTAAATATGTGGTTTGCTGTCGATGAACATGGTTTTCTACTTCCCAGTTTTATCGAACCACTTCAGACTGGTTTTGAAGTAATATATGCACAGGTTTTACAACCCATGACTTCATTGTTCAGTTACTCCTTCTTATGTATATGTTCCACAAAAACGTAATTCAGTTTTCTCTTTGTTCCATTAAAACTTATAAAAATGTCCTAATTGCTTCAAGTATTTTAACTTGTTCTTTTAAATCATCGTTCGATTCTGTAATAATTGCCATGTCTGTTTAAGCATGTGAATATGTCATTGTTATGAGATAATGTGGAGAGACTATAATTCATGGACTAACGAAGTCGACATAAGGTAAAAGGTCTTAGATTTTGGCGCGAAATTCATTCAACCATTTAGCTCAATAGAGTCTTGACATTTTAGCTGATGTCATTTCAAATAATGTGTATGTCCCTGATGAGATACTACGATCGATTTCCGATATTCTTGATTTGATTGTAAGACTTCTTAAATAACGATGATTTGAATAAATATGGTTTCTATAGTGTTGTTCACAGTGTTCTCGAATATTCTCCTTTTTCTATACAGCTTATCAAAATAATTTAGTTAAATCTACCGAGCGGACTTCTTATTCACTATTTATTACGTAGATAAGCTTCTATAAAGCCTAAGACACTAATTACTCTAGTAGTCGTGATCATTATTTGGCCACGTTGTCATAGGAACAGGATGAAAATCTAATTAAAATGTAATATTTTTCTGTTCATTTCAATAATTTTGTAAATACTCTCTCTAGGTTAATAAAAAAGATAAAGTCTCTTTATTGCTCCATTTAGTGACATTATTGTCAGTCTCATAGGAGGAAAGTACAACTTGCTGTACTTTTCATTTTAGTTTCTAATAATCCAAAAAAATTGATTATGTAATCGACTGACTTCAATTACTTTCAGTTAAAACAAATTTGATAATCATGATCAATTGGTAAGTTGTGAGTTATTTATTCGTAAAATGAGGTTTTTAAAAAAAATCACAAACATTTCATTTGGATGAATACTGTTCAAGGTATATGATCTCTAGACTGGATGGTTTGATCTTGAAGCCTTCATTGTTCTTCTGAACAACGTGATGAGCGATTACAACAAAGAGAAGCGAGCTATTAGAATTTCTCTACAATTGACCCATAATATGTTCTTTTAGACAGAAATTTGGATGTTGATTGTTTATATGTTTGTTTTGGTTGGGGTAGATCAACAGAACAAGCTTTTAATCAATTGTGACGAAATTTCAGTAGCTCACGTCGCTTCATAGTACGAAACGATGATATTGTTCCAAAGAACAATGAAATCTTTATGACGAAACCATCCAGATCAGTGAACACAACACCTTTAACATTCTCATTCTGAGCTACAAGTATTCTGTATCACTTGTGTAACCTAATGTAGGCATGTTAAAATAATTCATAAAATTCGTAAAGAAAACTGTCAAGAAATTGAAAAAAAATGCAATCAATCTATAAATGTTTGGACTGAAATTAAATGATCAATCTGAAAGTTTTTAGTAGAGTCAAGTTTAGAAGGAGACGAAATATTCTTATTCAAAAAAATTTGCAGTTTGATTGATCGAATTTAATCAGCAACAAAGATCAGATAAAATATTGATATTAGTTACTAATCACTGATTAATCGATGTAACATTCAAGTTAATAGAAAACTCGAGAATTTTCAAATTTATTTATATTTGACAATAAATATGCTGATGCCAGTTTTTCAGTAAATTACATAACGAACAATTTGATTTCTTATAATTTCACTAATGTTATATTAAACTATTTAAATCAGCTCCCTTGAAATGGCTAAATGGTTCCTTTCAATCTTTCAATCAATCATACATAAGAATAATAACCATACAAACTGTAATCTTACAACAAACACTACAACTCTTATATTTAAAGTAACATTCATAGTACAATGAAACGATCATTTCAATACTTAAACAAACTTTTATCTGAGAATATTTTTATAAGAAAAACACTACAATGTAATATGAAAAAATGGTCTATATCGTATATTTTAATGATCAAATTTAATGTTGGTTTTTCCTTTCAAATTGTGTAATGAAAATGTTATGAAGTACTTTTTATCTACACGGGAAAAAGTAAGATCCTGTAATCTATCATGGAGAACACTGACCTAATCGCACGTGATACGGAATCTCTGGAAGATGTGGAATCGTTCACGTACCTGACTGCTCAGCATCAACGATAAACAAGGAAGATCGGATGCAAAAGTAGACGAAAGGATGAGCTAAGCGACGGCCTTATTACTACAGTTGAGCAACATACGGAACTCAAAATAATTGTCTGTCAGACAACAACAAAGTTACAATCTTCAATACGAATTTCCAGGCAGTTAGTTCTACTGTATGTAGCTGAAACTTTGAGGACCACTAAAAATATCATCAAACATGTACAAACCATCTTCTATCTGAAGAGGAAATTAGGAAAAGACGTTGGAAGTGGATCGGACATACATTGAGGAAATCATCGAACTGTATCACAAGGCAAGTGCTAACCTAAAATCCTGAAGGTAAATAGAAAAGAGGAAGGCCGAATAACACTCTACATCGACAATTCGAAGCAGATATGAGAATGATGAATGGAAACTTGAAAGGATTGTCCAAAAAAGAGTTGGATGGAGAATGCTGGTGGTCGGCCTACGCTCCTTCACGAGGGTAACAGGCGTAAGGAAGAAAATTTTATTTAACCTCTGTTTAATACTATGTTTTTCATTCTATGGAAATAATTTTTATTCTAATAAAATATAGATTCTATTAGATTTCATACTTCTTATCTTGATGTTTGCTATAAGACACTATCATTGATGTCAAATATGACGCTTTTGTAATGTAGTCTTCGAGGATTATCAAACGACTAATATACCAATGCGTTTCATTATGTAAAGTACCGAATAAGATATTGATCAGATTTTGAACGAATTATCATCATGTATTACAATTTATTCATATACATAAATCTATATTACTTATAGTGAGTAACAATGATATTTGTTAGTGAACAAAACACGGGTGGGAACAATCGAATGCATTAGACAAGCAAAAATACAGACTATCTCACTAAAATCTGACAACCGTACAGTAAACAGTTAATTTGCAAATTAACAAATAATTGACTCAGCTTTGACCATTCCTTCTGCAAATATTATTCCATAGTCCCCGATTATTATTGTTCATGCATTTTCATACCAATTGAGTTTCATTTTCATTCTTTCCTTATTGATCTTCTAGTGAAATATATTCAATGTCCGACCATTGTTATATACTACTTGTGTGGATATAAGTAGCCCCACCATAATATAGTTATAACAAATACAATTCAATTATTTCTTTTGTAAAATATTTCCTGAACATGTGGTATTTCCTAAGTCATTAATTATTTTTTTACAGCAGAGTTACATGGTGGCTAGCAATAAAATTCAGGAAATAATTTTCCTCCTATCTGAGACATTAGCTGAATGCACTGGCATTTCAGAATCATAGTGTTTACAAGCCTTAACAACAGCAGTTTAATGAACAACAAGTGCTGTAAAAAAAATTCATGTAAGCGAACATTAATTTTAATGACCATTTGAAATTTCATTGAATATAAAAGGTATGTATTCACCGTTGCGAAAATCAATAGATTAACAGATTAAAATAAATAAAGATAAATTTAAGGCATAAATAAGCGAAATGTTTAATTGAAAATATGAATTGAGACGTTATTCAATTAACAGTTAATGGCCACAAAATGTCCTGGTATGGCTGAGAGTGGGGAGAACTCTCCCTAGCTCTACAAATCCTCCACAAGGCC